TTCAGTAGTGTGTGTGAGAGCATTTCAGTAGTGTGTGTGAGAGCGTTTCAGTAGTGTGTGTGAGAGCTAAAATTTCAGTAGTGTGTGTGAGAGCGTTTCAGTTGTGTGTGTGAGAGCTAAAATTTCAGTTGTGTGTGTGAGAGCGTTTCAGTAGTGTGTGTGAGAGTGTTTCAGTTGTGTGTGTGAGAGCTAAAATTTCAGTTGTGTGTGTGAGAGTGTTTCAGTTGTGTGTGTGAGAGCTAAAATTTCAGTTGTGTGTGTGAGAGCGTTTCAGTAGTGTGTGTGAGAGCTAAAATTTCAGTAGTGTGTGTGAGAGCTAAAATTTCAGTAGTGTGTGTGAGAGCATTTCAGTAGTGTGTGTGAGAGCGTTTCAGTTGTGTGTGTGAGAGTGTTTCAGTTGTGTGTGTGAGAGCTAAAATTTCAGTAGTGTGTGTGAGAGCGTTTCAGTAGTGTGTGTGAGAGCATTTCAGTAGTGTGTGTGAGAGCTAAAATTTCAGTAGTGTGTGTGAGAGCATTTCAGTTGTGTGTGTGAGAGCGTTTCAGTTGTGTGTGTGAGAGCGTTTCAGTTGTGTGTGTGAGAGCATTTCAGTAGTGTGTGTGAGAGCATTTCAGTTGTGTGTGTGAGAGCGTTTCAGTTGTGTGTGTGAGAGCTAAAATTTCAGTAGTGTGTGTGAGAGCGTTTCAGTAGTGTGTGTGAGAGGTAAAATTTCAGTAGTGTGTGTGAGAGCATTTCAGTAGTGTGTGTGAGAGCATTTCAGTAGTGTGTGTGAGAGCATTTCAGTAGTGTGTGTGAGAGCTAAAATTTCAGTAGTGTGTGTGAGAGCATTTCAGTAGTGTGTGTGAGAGCGTTTCAGTAGTGTGTGTGAGAGCTAAAATTTCAGTAGTGTGTGTGAGAGCATTTCAGTAGTGTGTGTGAGAGCGTTTCAGTAGTGTGTGTGAGAGCGTTTCAGTTGTGTGTGTGAGAGCGTTTCAGTGTGTGTGTGAGAGCTAAAGTTGAGCGTTTCAGTAGTGTGTGTGAGAGCGTTTCAGTAGTGTGTGTGAGAGCGTTTCAGTAGTGTGTGTGAGAGCTAAAGTTTCAGTAGTGTGTGTGAGAGCGTTTCAGTAGTGTGTGTGAGCGCTAAAATTTCAGTAGTGTGTGTGAGAGCGTTTCAGTAGTGTGTGTGAGAGCTAAAATTTCAGTAGTGTGTGTGAGAGCGTTTCAGTAGTGTGTGTGAGAGCGTTTCAGTAGTGTGTGTGAGAGCTAAAATTTCAGTAGTGTGTGTGAGAGCGTTTCAGTAGTGTGTGTGAGAGCTAAAATTTCAGTAGTGTGTGTGAGAGCGTTTCAGTTGTGTGTGTGAGAGCGTTTCAGTGGTGTGTGTGAGAGCTAAAATTTCAGTAGTGTGTGTGTGAGAGCTAAAATTTCAGTGGTGTGTGTGAGAGCGTTTCAGTAGTGTGTGTGAGAGCGTTTCAGTAGTGTGTGTGAGAGCTAAAATTTCAGTAGTGTGTGTGAGAGCTAAAATTTCAGTAGTGTGTGTGAGAGCTAAAATTTCAGTAGTGTGTGTGAGAGCGTTTCAGTAGTGTGTGTGAGAGCTAAAATTTCAGTAGTGTGTGTGAGAGCTAAAATTTCAGTAGTGTGTGTGAGAGCGTTTCAGTTGTGTGTGTGAGAGCTAAAATTTCAGTAGTGTGTGTGAGAGCGTTTCAGTAATAATGTCCCTTACGGCACCTCATATTTTTCCGCTTCACTCCGCATGCGAGTCTTGTGCTTTGCGCTGGGAAGAGGGGGAGGGGCAGTAGTTAAGCTCGCAGTAGCACAGGAACAGAGCGGGAGGGAGAGAGAGAGAGAACGAGCCAGGGACAACAACATCACATTAGAAAGGTATAGTAATCATCCACAACTATTTTCAGTTGCAGATGATAAAGGATTCAGAAAGTTTATTCATGCAGGCCCATATGACAGAGAATGTGCATCTTCTTTTTGTTTTCATATTATAATTTATATTTAATTGTGTTGTGGTTTGCAGTGTTTTGTGTTGTTTCACTTTAAATTTGTTTAAAAGGAAAAAGCTGAAAATGTAAATAGTTAAAAGCTGAACTGTGAATACTTGATTTTTGTAATATATGATTTATTACATTTTATGTGGAGTGAATAAATAAAAGTATATTTACGATGGCCCCTAGAGACAAAGCACGTACAAACTCCAATACATGTAAAAACTCCAAAACACGTACAAAACACAACAGAAATGCTCCAGGATGCTAGGGCGCAGAGTTTTTGTTACCTAGTGGCTACACAAGCCAGGAAGTACCAACGACTGGATTTGGTGTGTGGTAGTAACAGGTAACATTTTTTAAAATTATTTGAATATATGTATGTGTGCTTGTGTATAAATACACAAACCATACACATATGCTTTCAATTGTGTAATTTAAATGATCTAGGTAGCTCTGTTTTGGAAGTTCAGTTAATGCTAGAAATGTCATGAAACGCTGTGTGGCAGGCAGGAGACGAGGACTCAAAGTGCAGGACTCAGACTCAGGGGATGAACTCAAAAATCACAGCTCTATTTGCTGGCAGGAAAAAAAAAACATACAAACTAAACTGGGAAACAACAAACTAAAACTCACAGTGAGACACAGGGAGATCCACACAGCATGAGGGACGACACGACACTGACTCAGAGAAACACAGGGTTTAAATACACTGGGAAGTAACGAGGGGAATGAGACACAGAAGGAGAGCACAGCTGGAGGAAATCAGAACCTACGAGACAAGGAAGGGTAAACTGAACACATTCACATAAGACACGGACCTTCAAAGTAAAGTACAATATTACAAAAATCACAAAGAACTAAAAACGCTGGGTCAGGGGACCCAGGACCCTGACAAGAAATGTGCTTTGGAATTTGTACGTGCTTTGTTTCTAGGGGCCACCACATATATTTTTATATAAACATATATAAATAAAACCACTTTTTTTTACATTAGTAATTCCTTTTGTGCATAATTTTATATTATTGTTAATAATAAATTAATTAAAGCAACAAAACAACCTGAAGAGCCGGTTCGGAGCCGAAAGAGCCGGAAATCCCATCACTACTCTCTGTGCATTAAAACTCGCGCTTCTGCTATATGGTTTACACCACTTGATTTACGGCACCTTGTCGCTCTGTGACTTTCAAAATAAAAGCATCCACTGGGTCCAAGCTCCAACAATATAATAGCCACTCATAAGTTTACAAAACACTTTACAAAATATTAATGAGGTCATTTACAAAGTGTTAGCGCGAAGGGTTGATTTAAGATGGATTAGACAAATTTCCAGGAAATTATTGTAAGTTAGCATTATGAACGGTATCTCTTCTCAAATCTGTGATAGCAAGTCAGGCTGAGCGAGACTTTATTTCCTTCTTCACTATCACTCATCTGGTTGCTCAGATATTTTATAATTTGCTCACTCAGACTAAATTACTAGAGAAGATGCTGCAGCTTTTCCTTACTAATTGAACCAGCAGAAGAAGAGATGCTGGCAGGTGTGGTTTTAGAAGCACAAACAGTATTTTTACAAGCCCTTAAGGCACTGAAAGGCTTGAACCTGAATATCTGCACGTTGCCATTTTAACTTCCTGTTTTAGCATTTACTTATTTCGAGATCAATAGTTGTGATTCCTCAGTAGGCTAAAAGGGAAGAAGCCACCCACGTGAAAAAGAAAAACCTTGACATTTAGTCACTGTCACAACTGAAGTGACGCCACAAGTCAAAGTCGAGAAAACTATATCACAGCTTAGTGTTGGAGGACGGGAGGAGGACGGGATATCCAAAACACTGATGCCCATTAAACTTATTGGCTTTAAGGTATTTTCCAAATGAAAAAAAAATGTTAAAACATAACTCATGTTTAAGTCCTTTTTTGGGTTTGGCCTGTGTGAATAATAGTGTTCTCATGCAATGCAGGATTTCCTCAATTCCTAAACAGTGCGTAATGGCGGCTTCATAAGAACCACAGGCATGAGTTCATAATCTTAAAATAAACTGACTGTCAGAAAGCTTTGAAGACATTGTTTAAAACTTACTTCATTGTTTGTTTGTTTTGGTAATTATCAGAAACCACTGCAGGTGGTAGCTAACACAATAAAATTTTACCTTTCACTAAAACTACCTCATCACCTCAAACTGACCTTTGAGGTGACTTTGATTTGGACTGTTTGTAATAATATATTGAAATTTTTGTTCTTAAGAAAGAAAGAAAGAAAGAAAGAAAGGGACCAGTGGCGTATCCATAATTGGGGTATAGGGTGGCACCGACCTCCTCTGGTGTCTCTTCCACAACTAGTGCTATTTTATTTCTACGTGCTCAATCTCAATGTCAGTCTTACAACTACAGTAGACTAGCGTTGTTATATAACTTTTACTGAACTATGTTGCTATTGTACAGTGACACCAACAAATGTAAGGTTTAGCTTTGGCTTCCTCCCAAAGTCCAGAGACATGCAGTTAGCAGGGTTTGATTAACAGATGATTCTAAATTGATCATAGGTGTGAATGTGAGAGTGAGTAATTGTCTGTCTCTCTCTGTTTACCTTGTGACAGACTCCAGGGGGAAAAAAATATTAAAGTAATGTAATTAGTTAAGATCAGATAGTTAGATGTGATCATTCAGTTCCTTTTAATTTAGGTACATTAAAGTATTTTGATCCTAAACAACCAATCAATACCAGGGGCACTGGAAGCACTTGGTGATGTAATTAAGACACACCAAATCTAAATTATCAAAACAAAAGAAACCAGGATGCGTTTTCGCTCTCACGTTTTCTAGAGAATTTGCTAAATTCCAGACTGAGATTTGATGGACTGTCAAGATTAAAGCTGATGAAGAATTACGGGTGGATTGGGGGGGTTGTTAACCACCCACTGAGCCGGTCTCATGATTTCTGCATGACCGGGCTTTGTATCTGAGTTCTGGGCACACTGCCTTTTGTTTTCGGTGGGCGGCCGACCGAACCAGCACAGAGCCTCTTTTCACCGTTTGCTCGCCCATCACTCCGCTCCGCACGCGGTCAGGAGCACATAGACCCCATCCACCCCTTTGTCTCTCTCTCTGCAGCTGAGCGGAAGCTCGGCTGTGCGATTTCCTAACAAGTGATCGGCCCAGATCGGAAACTACGCATCGTGTGCTTTCGTCAACAATGAGTAAGACAGGGCAACGTGCCGCCAAGCGCGTCTAGGTTTCTTTAAAACACACCCCGATAGGAAGGCGGACTTAATTTTGAAGATACATAAGAGGTGTAGACACGAGGTTTATTATAAACTGGATACACAGAGGCTGGCACAAACCCAACAAAGCGGTAAAACTTTAATTTTAAAACTTGCTTTGCTGATTCATTTATGTGATTTAGTTCTGTAAAGAGATTTACTTTGCTTGGACTTCATTGTTATATTCTTTAGTGATACTGCTCGTATAAAAGTGTTAAAATAGCCTGTTGGGTGTAAACATTTTTAACTTTAATCCGGGCATCAGTTCAGCATCATCTCCGGCTCCATCGCATCACATGGGTTATTATAATGTTCTCTGTAGACGTCACTGATGCGTTATTTTGTGCTTTATATGGATAAGAAAAAAAATATGGATAAGAAATAAGGCAGGGCAGTAATTTAATTGGGAAAGATGAGGTTATATCAGTTTTTTCACTCTTTATAACTTTAAAACTGGGGAGCGAACATGTGGAGGGTGAACAGAGTGAAATAGAGGGAGGGACTTATTGTCATTGCTCTAACACATTCTCCATCACAACTGACAGATTCACACAGTGCCGAGAAGTGTCTCAACTGCCTGCGCATAGACTCTCCCTTAACAGAATCCATTAGGGGTATGTACTTTATAGCTCTTAATATATATAAGAGGCTTCTTTTCTTTGTAAACCTCAAGATCCATAAAGATTGTCTGATTCTGGATTTTGATCAAAATATGTTAATGTGTGTGTTTGCTTTGCTTATTGTTTTTTAGGTTTTCCTGCTGACTGCTTGCACACAGGTGTGCGCATAAAGAATTAAGACTCCCGCTGTCCTTTCTGCGAACATCAAACAGAAGAGATCAGGATGCAGCATCTGGATGATGACAAGGTGAACATCATAGTCTTTCGCTTATGCTCTCGTATAAGTGTCGCTGGTATTGTTTTCATTGGCATTCATTTTCATTATCAGAAATCAATTTGAACCTTTTTGACAATGAGCCACATGCGTTACGCTGGAACGGATGCTGAGTTTCACTACAAAAAACCACCAAAGGATGAGTTTATGTGAGGCAAGTCAGAGTGAGCCTTATACAATAGACCTGCTGGTTTTCTGTATTTTTCCATGTTGGCAAAAGCAGGAGTGGTGGATGAGAGTTGAGCACTTCAGGACATGAGTAAGAGAGTGTGATTGGGAGTCGAGACTGTTGGCTGGCAAGTCTGAACTTGAGCATGTCATAGTTCCTTGTTTTTATTGCGTCCTGACTTGGAGAGAGGTGGGATGAGGGCATAGCAGTTCGACTGCAAACCTTCTTATAACAATGGCACAATGTTTTGATACGTGCAGCACAGAGGAGTTAGTGTTATTGCTCATATAAATGAGCTTAATGCACCTGCTTCCCTGCTACCTCTGAGCATTTTGCAAAGCATAGCTGCGGTTTCTCTTTTGTAAGACGTTTCTTGCAGTTACTTCATTTTCATGGTTATTTCCTAACTTTTTTCTTTACATAATCTTGGACAGGGCAGACAATTGCAAGATAGTATGAATGTGGAAGCTGAATTCTGCTTTCCGATTTTTATTATCATTTTAAGACAGGCTTCAATCTAGTCTAACTGCATGTACTTATTAATATTTTATTACTAAATGATTAATGTGAGAGGAAAGATCAGTCAGCAGTAAGACAAGAATTTAAGAGAGTCGAGTTCAGAAGGCGAAGTTCAAGCAGCTGCAGACTGATGCTTTCTTTTTTTCTTTTAGCTGAATCCTTAGTTGCAAACCAAAGTTGGACTGGTATGCAAATTCTACTCCAAAGTCATTAAAGAAAAATAGATATTGAGCAACACTGTGGGCTTGGCTGCTGATGTTACTAGTAACCTACAAATGGCACATGCATAAACAAACATGTGAATGCATGACTGTACAACCGCATGCCTCGGGGCAAGTCGATACAACCTAGAGTCAGATGCGTTATGGTTGTAAGATTTGTAATGCTCCACGCTCAGCTGGACACGCCCCAGTAAGAGGGGATTTTTTTAAGGGTGATTTTAAAGTCACATCTTAGGTAACACACACGTTTACACATGCACCCAGGAGCACCCGCTACACTCAGCCTCCATCTCCTCCACAATCGGACACACATTACTCATTTGCTCTTCAGATCACGCAGTGCTAATGTCACTGTTATTCTCAAAAATGAGGTCACTTCCAACATTTTTACCTTTTCTTCCCTCGCATCTAAAAGTCTCAGTTTGAATTAGAACTAACATGAATTGTGAAATTGTCTTTAGTTCACCAACGTATGTCCTCATTAAAAGCAGGACTGACTGCAACCGCACAGACCCCACACATTATTGAATGTCACAAATAGCTAATTCCCTAACACTTGTACATTCAGCTTGTTTTAAGCGGTGATATCTCAGTGAGAAGCAGAGCAGCGTGCAGCCTCAGTCTCAGTGAAATATTGTCACTTATCAGCCCTCTGTCTTTATTTGGTTCATCAGTTCCTCTTGCATGCATGTTTCATTCTGAGCCATGCGATATTTTTGATAACTACAGCACACTGGATATGAGTGCTATAAAGTACTGTCATGTGGCAGTTTAAGATAACTACATTGCACCAGCATTTTCCTGTTTTGGTGATAGTACAGGCATTTGGTTTCCTGTAAAAATGTAGCATTTGAAAGAAGGCTTAACCACATGCAAAAACGGGCAGCTTGTTTGAGGCAGTCTGTGAGCAGCTGTTTAGAAGTCAATGTTGCTAATATTGAGACACTCTGTTCTCAAAAACTTTCAAGATGTTTAATCTGTCCAGACAGTAATATCATGTATGATAAATGGACAAGTCTGTGTGCTTATCTTGGCAGGACTGTTTCTAAAAATGTCTGTTTTTGACTTGACAAACTGTACAAAACAGGCTCCTAATCCATCTGATGAATGTTTCACGGATGCTGCTTAGTCGAGTTAATGTTGCATAAGCAGCAGATTTCAAAACTAGATGGATTAAACTTGATTAACATGGATTTCCTTTCATTAATGAGCCTGTTTGGACATTAGCATTTGCTCATTAGGAGACATGAAGGAAAGCTTTTGCAACAGTTCTTAGAGATTGTTATGTAACAATCTGTAAGGATGTAATCGTTAGGTTAGTTTTAAAGTCAAACCAAAACTTGGATCGAGAGTCACATTTTCTCTTTATGCTGCCCACACGCAGCATGACTGAAGTTTGGCGTCATTTAAACCTCAGTTCTCCTTAGCAGAATGACTTTACATATTGGAAATGTCACTCCTCAAGCAAACCGTGCCAGTGTAAGGGATTAATGTGAGGTGTATTAGCTTGTTAGTATGTGCTAAGCCCATTTTAATTCTGAAACAAGCAGGAGCAAACACTCCCAAGAGGATTCAGACTTAGTCTCTCAGGGTGTCTTTAGCTACTTATCAGGGAAATACCTCAGAGCCACAAATCATGGTACTTTGTTGCATTGCAGCGGGCCTACAGTTACTAATGCAGCGATGCGAAAACAAGAAGCGAGAACAGATGGAGAAAGGCTCATTGTTTGTAATTACCAGTGTGACTGTAAACAACGAAAGCTTTGTAGAGCCCAGAAGAGGACATTCAAACTGAGGGACTGATTGGAGAGAGGCTTCATCTGCAATTTATTGTGGCGATAGATAATAACTCTGTGTTTTCTCCTCTTTCAACAGCCCAAGAAGAAGTTGACGCCTTACCTTCTCTACTGCGTTTCAACAGCAGTCATCGGCTCCCTACAATTTGGCTACAACACCGGCGTCATCAATGCACCCGAGCAGGTGTGTGATTGATTGAGTTCATGCACAGTTTTTCCTACGTTTTCAAAAATGATAACTGGACTGGTTCTTATGTAGTGCCTTATGTAAGATGTCACATTAACCCATTCACACACATTCATACAAGCACTTTTTTTCTAAGTGCTTTCTACTTTCACACTCTTGTTAAAAATACCTTGGCATGCAGACTGGAGCACCAGCCTTACGATTAGTTATCGTATCGTTAGTTACACGATTATCATTTAAGGTGTGTCGACCCAGGGTGATATCTAAAACCTGCAGGACACCGGCCCTTGAGGCCTGGAGTTGGATGCCCCTGACCTACATGTCTGCTCTCATTTGTATGCTCTCATGAGGATGGTAAAAGTTATACTGCCCCCATGTGGAAGAGTTAAAAACACCCCCTAAGTGCCACTACATCTGGTAGACTTCACTGATGTTTCATGAAATAATAATAATCTTAACACTCCAACCTTTTTCTTGTTTGTTTTTTCAGAAACTGCGGACATTTTTCTCTAATGTGTCTCAGAGCCGATACGGGGAGCCTTTTCAGTCACAGACAATTACTCTGGTCTGGAGTTTTGCTGTGGCCATCTTTAGCGTGGGAGGCATGATCGGGTCCTTCTCTGTTGGAGCAGTGGTTAACAAATTTGGCAGGTGAGAAAATCAAAGATAAACACTGTGGTGGTGCGACCAAACGATCTACTACTGAGAGTGCGATACAGACTCTGATTTCACTTCTGTTTTTGTGTCTTACTACCAGGCGAAAGTCCATGCTGATGAACAACATCCTGGCTCTACTGGGTGGCGGTATGATGGGACTGGCGACTCTGAGTCAATCTTTTGAGATGGTCATAATTGGCCGGTTCATCATCGGTGTGTTCTGCGGTCTATGCACGGGTCTGACGCCCATGTACGTGGGCGAGATCTCTCCCACCGCTGTCCGCGGAGCCTTCGGCACGCTGCACCAGCTGGGTGTAGTTATTGGCATCCTGGTGGCACAGGTACACAAACACGCTCAACACTAAACATGCAAACCGACATAATAATCTTTTCCTTTTTATAGAAGGTCACATTTACTCTCAACAGGTACCGAAATTTAGATGAGCATAAATAAACGAAACACATCCTGTTTTATAAGCCGTGTGTAACGGTGTGTATAATGAAAGAGGAAACAGACACTGCTCTGATAAAAGGCAGTGTAGCTAAAAACACTGGAGAGCTCACACTTTTCTGCACGTACCTGTGTGTGTGTGTGTGTGTGTGTGTCTGTGTGTGTGTGTGTGTGTGTGTGTGTGTGTGTCTGTGTACTCATAGCTGAAAGAGAAGAATTTCATATACAAGGAGTAAATTGGCTCAAATGGGTCAATTTTATGCACCTCGTTCCCTCATTATTTTTGCTGTGTGTTCCTCAGATCTTTGGTCTGGAGTTTTTGCTGGGCTCAGACACTCTGTGGCCTCTCCTGCTCGCTCTGACTATCCTGCCTGCCGTACTGCAGACAATCATGCTGCCCTTTTGCCCTGAAAGCCCTCGCTACCTCTTCATTGTTCTCAAACAAGAGGAGGAGGCTAGAAAAGGTCAGTCTTAAGTCAGTTTGCATACTTACAAACCAAGTTGGCAACGTCGGGTTAGTGAGACCAACTCTGACTGATTTTTAATGATGTGTGGGAAACTTTACTTTGTTATATAACGCTCCGAGCTGCTTTTTTCTTACTTATACTTACCTCCTCCTCCTATTTCTTTGATCTGTTTTACTTTTTGTAGCTCTGGTGCGTCTGCGTGGCACTGAAGACGTGGATGATGACATTCAAGAGATGAAGGAAGAAGGGATGAAGATGGCCATGGAAAAGAAAGTGACCATCTTAGAACTGTTCCGCTCGCCAAACTATCGCCAGCCAATCATTATCGCTATTATCCTGCAGCTCTCCCAGCAGCTGTCTGGCATCAACGCTGTGAGTAGACGTCACATCCTATAATACAGCGACGTGATAGGGATATATTTAGCACATGTCAAACTGGGAAAAAGTGTAATGTGAGAAAAGCAATGTTTAACGTTAGCCACGAATGCTTAAAGGAGCATTCATTGAAATTGCACAAATGTTTTTGACAAGCACGTAAGAAGATGTGCTTCTTGGCTTCAGGCAATGTTAGATTGAGTTGAATAATTTGAGGCTGATTGGAAGAAGATAAGCACAGTGGTATTTAATAGCTATTTTGTTAATAAGGTCATGTAACCGGGCTGACTAAATTCATTAGCAGCTGCTGTGTCTGACCTGACAATCACTGTGAAGGAGCCTGGAGCTAAAGGCTGCAACATAACCCATATCACTCACCAGAAAGACGCTGGTGCAGTTTTACACGCTGCTACGTGTATTGTTTTTTGTGCAACCGTTCCAAAACGTATATTTATCAGATTTTTTATAGTCAAATGACTACACGTGGAGAATTTCCACTCAACTCTGCCTTGCATCCTTGCACTTTCACTGCTCTCAGCAACCTTGTTTCCAGCCTCAGCAGGAGGAAAGAAACTATTAAAGCCACTGTGTGACGACTGTACCTGCTGAGCATAAAGGAGAATTTTGTTACAAGAGAATCAGATAATATATCAGGGGTTAGTGATGAGGCAAAAAAAGAGAGAGAGAGAGAGAGGAAAAAACTGAGTGTAATAGAAAATAAACAGAAATGTATGAGTAAATAAACATATCCATCCATCCATCCATCCATCCATCCATCCATCCATCCATCCATCTTCATCCGTTTTATCTGAGGCTGGGTCGCGGGGGCAGCAGCCTAAGCAAAGAGGCCCAGACCTCCCTCTCCCCAGCCACCTCCTCCAGCTTATCCGGGGGAACACCAAGGCGTTCCCAGGCCAGCCGAGAGATATAATCTCTCCAGCGTGTCCTGGGTCTGCCCCGGGGCCTCCTCCCGGTGGGACATGCCTGGAACATCTCACCCAGGAGGCGCCCAGGGGGCATCCTTGTCAGATGCCCGAACCACCTCAGCTGGCTCCTTTCGATGTGGAGCAGCAGCGGCTCTACTCTGAGCCCCTCCCAGATGGCCGAACTTCTCACCCTATCTGTAAGGGAGAGGCCAGCCACCCTTCGGAGGAAGCTCATTTCTGCCGCTTGTATCCGCGATCTCGTTCTTTCGGTCACTACCCACAGCTCGTGGCCATAGGTGAGGGTAGGGACGTAGATCGACCGGTAAATTGAGAGCTTCGCTTTTACACTCAGCTCCCTCTTCACCACGACAGACCGGTGCAGCATCTGCATTACTGCAGCTGCAGCCCCAATCCGTCTGTCGATCTCCGGCTCCCTTCTCCCATCACGCGCGAAAAAGACCCCGAGATACTTGAACTCCTCCACTTGGGGCAGGAACTCATCCCCGACCCGGAAATAAACACATAATTACAAAAACTTACAATATGATTAAAAAAAACTGACAAAACTTTCTGTTAGTCTTGTTGTGATGGAAAAGAAAAATACCCTAAATATGATAGTATTAATTAAGTGTTCACATTGTTTCACTTCTTTTCATGTTGCTAGACTCAAATGCAAGTCTTGCTCCAAATCTGCAGCATCAACTTCAACTGTTTGTTTTTTTTTTTGATCTGCCAAAAATCTAAAACAAACTGATGCATGTGCAATCAAATCATGTTCTGAGCACTTTTTATTAATCAGAATCAATATTAACTGACTTTTCCTTCATTTCCTCTTTCAGGTCTTTTACTACTCCACAGGCATCTTTAGTAACGCTGGTGTATCTGAGCCCATCTACGCCACCATCGGCGCTGGAGTCGTCAACACAGTGTTTACTGTTGTCTCTGTAAGTGTCTGAGTGCGCAGGTGGTTTCGTTAATTTAGTACAGGTTAAATATTACGTTGAATGTCAGTTGATAATTGTGTTTCTTTGAACTCCAGCTCTTCCTGGTTGAACGGGCGGGACGCAGGACGTTGCACCTGATTGGACTGGCTGGAATGGCCATCTGCGCCCTGATCATGACCATCTCCCTGTCCTTAGTGGTGAGTTCGTCATTGTAAAATAAAAATGAGAAGCCAGCCTATTGCTGCTGCATTACATCTTTTCCTCATGCTCTCTGTTTCTTTCTCTGAGCAGAAGACCACCCCATCTCTAAGTTATCTGGCAATTGTGGCTGTGTTTGGCTTTGTTGCCAGTTTTGAGATGGGTCCAGGTCCCATCCCCTGGTTCATCGTGGCTGAGCTCTTCTCCCAGGGGCCCCGACCTGCAGCCATGGCCGTCTCTGGTTTCTCAAACTGGACTGCCAACTTCCTGGTGGGGCTGGGTTTCCCTAGACTGGAGGTATTTTTCACATTTATCATCCCTGCAGAAAATGTTCACATTCACACACATGTACAAATAATAGTCGTCTTCCAGTTTGTCTCATAACAAACATCCCTCTGATTTTCCCAGGAAATTTGTGGCCCTTACGTCTTCATCATCTTCATGGTCCTCCTCATCCTGTTCTTCATCTTCACCTACCTACGAGTCCCTGAGACAAAAGGGAGGACCTTTGACGACATTGCACAGGGATTCGCCGCCAGGGTGGAAAAACCCTCCCACTCCCCGGTGCCTGAGGCAGTTGTGGTTGAAAACAAAGAGCCTGCACCGATGTCCCCCACAGAAAAAGTTCCCATGGTGAATCTTCCTTCAGAAGCAAAATGAAAAACTGTAGAAGATACGAAGGAAGATTTGGTGCAAAACAAAGCAGACAAACATGGGCCTTGCACATAGCTAGTGTAAAAGTTCTATTATTATATATACTATTTTATATTTACATATTAAGTTATATTGCATAAGTCAGAAATAATGAAAGGTGTGTGTTTGGAAGAAGCCACTTCAGTGTACTAATGCAAAAAAAAAAAGTTTTGGTATTTTATATGTGTGCTTTTAAAGTGCCTTTTTAAAAAAATGAAAGAGTGTTTTTAAAGATCCCTCCCAGCTAGAAATGCTTAATTAATGGACTGAATTCCTCTTTAATCCTGCTTTAAACACGGTCTACACTTAAATGAATTACCAGTATTTAAGGTTTGTTGACATTTCCAGTGCCAGCTCCCATCCTTTTTTACCTTATAAGAGGATCAGCATATGTTCTGTGTGAGGTCTTCAGCTACCAACAGTGTTAAAAGGTTGCAGGATTTGGGGGTTTATGTATTGAGGTCAAGCTTGAAAAGACGGATTTGGAGTTCGGTTGTTTGACCCCCCAAAAAGAAAAGATTGACTTGCTGTCCTCTCTGAAATGCCTTGTTGCCTGCCTTGAGGCAGAAAAAAAGCACTGAGGGGGGTTTAGCAGCAGTTCCTCTCCACTTCAGGTCCATATAGATTTTGAATAAATATATTTATGTATGTAGAAAACAAAGACTTCCTCTCATCCAGCAGTAGCACCACATACCCTGACAGCAGAGGATGTCTCTGCTTGTCCGCTGTTTGGATGCGACAGCTTTTGTGCCGAGAAAGAAACAAAACAAGGCGAGTTCTGTAAGCCGGAGCCGTCTGCATCAAATGTAATATTTGTATGAGGATGAGAGAGACGTAGTCCAGCACCGCCAAGCCTGAACAAAGCCTCTTTAAGGCTTCTCAAAAAAACAAAAGCTTACCTCTTTAGTTTGCAGATTTCACTGCAGGGTACAAAGTAGAACGAGGAAAAAAAAAATGCTGGCGTTTACAGCTCAGATTGGATTTTAGAAACTCAGGTGGCCAACTGTGTATGTTTATAGCTCCCAACTGTTACAGCACAGAAAGGATATTTATCCACCACTGCACTTGAAACTCTTTCCACATCTGTAGAGCATTTGAGAGAAGCAGCTATTGCAAAGTAGGTCGTAAAATAAAATACAGTTTTAAAGCAGTGTTTTAAAGTATTTGCTAGTGTGAAACTGTTACCTCATTTGAGGGATGTGTAGAAGCACATTGTGGTCTACTGATAACTAAACACACATCTCAGTCAAAACAGGTCATTACACACGCTTGACGATGTTGAATTAAAAAAACACTACGTGAATTGTATTTATTTTAGAACCGAAGAGTCGTTGTTTGCATTTGTTTCTAACTGTTTGAAATGATGTGAATATATTGTAAAGGCTCCAGTTACTGCACACTGATCAGCTGCTGCAGCACATGATGTGTCGGTGTTTGCAGAGCAGCATCTTCTTCTGGGTGTGCACAAACTGATGAGCTTAACAGGGTTATGTTAGCACTTTGGCAGTCAGACTACTGAATAATGATTGCGCATACTGTTTGCGCCCGTTACATGTAAATGTGTCGCACGTGCTCGAGAGGTGTGCGGTTTTCACCTGTCCTGTGAAACCTGTTACTTCCACCTTGATTTTTCTTGCACTCTGCACTCCTAGTGTCACTGTATCAGATGCAGTTGTGTTGCTTTGCAGTTTTCACATTTTTAATATGTATATTTTGCTCTTTTGTTATCTCTTTTTTTGTTTGTGTAAATAAACAGAAACACTTAGCCAAGTTGAGCGTGTGTCAGAGTTAGAGATGACCTTTGCTGCTCTGCATTTCGTGCGAGACACTTGGCTTAGAGAAACCAAGAAGAAAAAGTTTTACATGTTTCAAGGGAAAAGCGCCACCTGACTAATGAGCGTGAACATGATAAGTTTTGTGAGTTTATAAGGCCACAAGTCAAAGCCAGTTAGTTATCATGAATGTTTAATGTTAACTGTCGCTCCGTGGTAATCCATCGGGCAACCACTTCTCCACTGCAGCGTTTCCTTCTCGTTTCGCTGTGGAAAAACCTCAGTGAGCTGTGAGGCGCGGTATTACAACACAAGCCACGAGCGCCGCTGTTGATGAATCGGGTTTAAATAATACATTTGGGTGTTGTGTTGACATTTTTGTTACGAGCTCAAAAATCAAATCAGAAGACACAGAGGGAACTTCCTGTGATCTGTTTTTAAATCACTGATCTCGTGTTTGTGAGGTCACATCCAAAGGGACTCGCTTTTCAGAATAGCAAAAAGACACTGATTACGATGCTTCATTTAGAATTTGCTCGCAGACAAAACTGAGGCGAAAGTTGATATTAAAGGTTTTCGTCATTAGTCTTGTAATACATTATCCGTCTTCAGTTTAAGCTGCGATCATGGCTCAAATTTCCATAATGCTTTGACAGATGAAGAATCTGCTGAGTACCTGTGGGCTACAGATATTTTACATCCCACTATTTGTTTACGTGCCTGCATCACACTGAATTCATTAAAAGCTGTTAGCGACTCCAGTTTTCCATGATTTCTAAGCAGATTAATCATTTATTCACAATGATCGGAGTCACACTGAATCGGGTCTGTGTGGCAGACTAAACCCCATACCTGTGCTCCAAAAGGGTGATCTCATTTCTAAGCACCTATATGTGGACAACCAGACTGAGATTGAAATTTCTCCCCTAGTGGGGCACACAAGTCAATTGTAGATGTTTACATATTTGTCTGACAAGCACAAAGGTGCCCAGTTTGATTCCATGAGGACACACAAATCCCTTGGCTGTTGTGTCAGAGGGCCATCTGGCATAAAAATCTGCTAAATCCAAGATGTAAAGCTACCTGCTCTGAATGAAAGCTGAAATTACCCTTTTCCCTTTTTTGCTTATATCAAAAATTTTCTGACGATGGACAAGATAAGCTTCAGTCTGATTGGTCGCTTTAGCTATACAATATAATCTTCCATTTCCTGTTTGGCTTTACCTTGTGTACCTCAGCCCATCGAAGAAGCACACAGCCTTTGGTAAGGGGCCCCCCAGCTGGCTGGGAATGGTGCCATCTAACTGTGTCAAACCCACACAGCACATCTCCCTGCAAGAGTCCACAGCAGTTACTCACAGCAGTGAACTGGAGCATGAAAGCCCATCAACAAGCTGCAGTACTGCAGGCTGGCCAGCTAGTGGCGTGCACAGACCAGAAGGGCTGCTCAGATGTGTGTGTGTGTGCCTGAGTGTGAGTCTGCATACTGTCTGGATGAGCTGTCCTATGAGGCGAGGAGTGTGTCTGAGAGAGTAGGGTGGTGGTTGTGGTGGAGGGGTGTTAGAGCATGAAGCCACATGAAGGATGGCAAGCGTCCCAAAAAACATGTCTAAATGATATTCATTTTCCATAAAGGCTGAGCTGAGTGAGATCAAGAAAAACAGCAAAAAAATAAAAAGTTGGTCACTCTCACATGCCACAGCTTGAAAAAATGCGGGTTAGCACAGTGTCCAGACATGAGAGGGATGCCACAGCCTGCCAGCCAGCGTTGCAATGGACGCCGTTAGTCGTGTCTAGACAGCTGTTTTAAAGACCAGAAAAACTTGTTTATTAATTCTCTCCCTTCGCTCTCTGTCACTCTCTTGTCGGCTCTCCTCTCTGTCTTTGTTTCTCCCATATAAGAAAATAAACCCTCTCTCCCACTTTCCTCCTCTCACTCGTTCTCTCCTCCTGTCTCTGTGACAACGGTGTTTTGTTTACTTCCTCACTTGGCAGCGTACTTATTGTATCTGCTGCTCTGTAAATATTTTTCTGCTTCCCTCATCCATTCATCCATCCACCCCCCATCCTCTCTCTCTCTTTTTCTTAGATAAAGGGAGCAAACAGACTCCACCCCCTCTCCACCACCCCCCACCTCTTGCTCTGTCACACACACTCACTCTATCTCCCTCTTTCTCTTTCATACTCTCTCCCTCCCTCTCTCCCTGTCAGTGTCATTCTGTAGTGGAGATGTGGAGTGTCTTTCTGTCTCTCTGTCTGTTTTTCCAGCCTAACTCAGCTGAGGAAGGTAAGAACCAAACTTTTGATTGCATTTATTCACGTCAAACCTGTGACTGCACGCGCGTGTATGTGTGTATGTGTGTGTGTGTGTGGTCATAAAGCTTGATGCCGTGTTTGTACAGCGCTCTCATCACGTTCCTGAAACAAGTCCACAAGTGAAGGATGGGCACTTAGTATGCAACTGTTATAGCTCTCTAAGAACAAGCTTCTGTGGGAATTAATGGGACTTTGACAATGTGTGAAACTGTGGCACATTAGTCTGCCACGCTACGAGTCAAGCCACCCTGGATTATGAGTCCTCCACCTGCACCTTGGGACCCCCGGAATAATTACCAGCTTTACCCCTGCTTAGACAGCCCTTAGTTTTCTGGGCTCTGTGTTGTGTCTCAAAGCAACAGTGCACGTGAATATGCATGCAGATGCTTGTGTGCACCACTGTAGAAGCACATCAGATAGTAGTTTGTTGGCACGGAAGGGCCAGGTGCGTGCCAGGACCTATCAAGATCCGGCAACAAAAGGATATGGAAATAAGGCAGAAGACAAATGAATATTAAGCCGCATAACCCCTTCTCTATGCTATGCACTCGGTGACCTACCACCCCCCTCCCGTGTCACACATGATCTCATGGATGTGACAGCCGCAGGCCCCCTCTTCTTCTTATCATTGCCCCCCCCCCCCCCCCCCCCCCCCTTTTTATTTCTTCTGCACTGGTGTCCTTAAAGCGTGTCTCCTGTTTCTCCTGTTTCTCCAGTTCTCTCCTGGTAACTTTTAATGCTTTGCTTACATAAATGGAAAGAATGTATGCCTTAAAAAGTGCAAGACTGAGTGACTGTTTGTGTGTGTGAGAGAGAGAGAAAGAGAAAGAGAGCGAGTGACAGACAGTCTAAAAAGATGGATAATTAAGTGAGACTCCATCTATGAAGTGTTCTGTCAGATCAGAGTGGGCTGACTTGAGAAACCTGCAAAAACATGATGACTCAAACTGGCTTTGTGTGTGTGTGTATATATATATATATATATATATATATATATATATATATATATATATAGCCAAACACACACACACACACACACACACACACACACACACACACACACACACATATATGTATATATACATATAAGTGTATATACATACATGTGTATATATACATATGTGTGTGTGTGTGTGTGTGTGCGTCTCCATATGTGTTTGGCTATAGGTGCATACATGCCTTTAGATTTGGCCTATACATAGCTCCCGCTCCTACACCCTGTCCCCAGCACTAGAGAGGGTGTCAGCAGTCAGCACGCAATTACTTTCAAAGGATATGTCTCTATGTTGCAAAGAGCTGCACCTGTTCGCGCTCATCTTCTTCTTTGGCTTTAGTTTACTGCGAGGTGTGTGTCAGTAATAGTCTGTTACAGTGGTAACTTATATGTCAGCCTCACGCCGTGGATTCGAGCCGCGCTTGTAACAGATGGCTTGGACTAAGATGAGACAGAATGACTGCGAGGAGAGAGGCCGGGCAGTGTAACGAGCCCATACTGACTCTGTGTAATTGAAACAGAGCTCGACATAATACAGTATTAACCCAGTAGCATGGGCGTCCCTATAAATCCACATGAAGTGAAACATCCAGTTACATCGTGAATGGACGGTTTGGCATCTGCCTCAGCTTTCGTCGCAGCAAATGACGTCTGGACCGGCTGGATATAGCTGCACGTTAACTATTTTTAAAGTCGTTCTTTCTATTGTGAAATGTGAGCCATCTGCTTTTCAAGTACACTATATCTGCATCAAAAATCCGAATTATTGTCTATTTTTATGTCACAAGATATGAGGAAGTGTCATTTTTTTCAATAGTTTCCTCTAGGTTAAAAAAAACCTAAATCTTTGCCGCTTCTCATGAAGACAAATCACAAGTGAGCGACAACTGATTTGCATCTCTCAAATGCAGCCATGTGTAAGTGTTGCTCCATTCGCCCACATGCATTGTTGATGTGGAGCCTCTGAACCTTACGAATCTGTGTTGAGGATTGCGTGTTCACTTTGGATTAACACCTCACACCCAAGGAAGGGCCTGAACGGGAGACACACCTGATGCCCCTCCGGCCCTTTCTGTCATAGACGAGCGGAGTTGCAGCAATGCTCACTGAACTATGCAGTTCCAGGAATTAACCTTGCACTGTTAGTTAAACTTGTTTCATGCCTTGAAAAGGTAATCTCTTCTGAATATCACCAGATGGCAACAGGCTGCTCAAAAAATGTATCGATTTTTTATTTTAACGACAACATTGATTAATGAATTCATGCATTTCTCTCAACGTAAAATAAAACGTTTCTTCTATAATTCTACTTAATTACATTTCTGAAAAAAATGCAATATATTTTAACTCCCTACACTTAATTCCATTCAATTCCATTTTATTTCTATAGCTCCAAATCTAATACGTATTGTAAGGTAAAGAGGTAGAGGAAGATATTACAGAGAAAACACCAGCAATCAGACTACGCCCTATGAGCAAGCACTTCCCAACACTGAGAAGGAAAAACTCAGAAACCGAAGTAGGCTCAGGGAGGGGCAGCCATAACCTGCCATCGGTTGGGAGTGAGGATGGGCGGAGCCTATCCCAACCATCATAGGGTGAGTGGACGGGTTGTCAGTCTATTGCAGGGCTTCACATAAAGATTTTACAAAAAAAACCCCTTATGATGTTATAAAAT